CCACAGCCTCTGCCTAGGGAAAGGGCAGCTGACATCATTATCCTCTCCCCTATGAGGTATGTTATGCAACTGAAAATTCCAACTGCCTTGCGGGCGGGGGGAGTTTGAGGTGTGGAATGGAGTGAAGTCCAATCAGCTTCCACATGCAAAAGACCTTGAAACGCTGGGCGGGACTGCACAAAGCAGCCAGTAAACCCAGGCAGCGTCTTCTGAGTGGCAGTTCTTCCGGCCAAACACTAAAGGGGCCAAATTTAGAATGTTCACTACTCAATTATATATAAGGAGAGATAGTGCTATAAAGCAAATGTTCAAAAGGGAAAAAAAACTGGAGATCGCCCGCGCAGGCGAAAAACGGTGGGAAAAAGCGCATCGGAACCGGGAGAGGAAACCGAGGAGTACTTGGAAGTGGTTGACAGGTAAAACGCTTCAGCCCCGTTTCCTAAACGGGACAGAAGCGATTGTGTATGAAATGACAAATATATTCCGGAAGGGAACCGGTTCTCAAACGGTTCTGTCTGAAATGACAGACCAGAAACAGTTTGGGAACTGTTCCTCTTCCGGAATATATTGCCTGTCTGAAATTCCACTGTGAACACCACGAGGAAGGGCCTTCGGCAGTTTTGTCTGAAGCCATGATGACTAAGCTATTCTTTTTTACACCTAAACTCCATCTAGAGCCCATGGTGCCAAGAGAGGAAGTTTGGTGTAGTGGTTAAGTGCGCGGACTCTAATCTGGGAGAACGGGGTTTGATTCCCCACTCCTCCACTTGCACCTGGCTGGATGACCTTGGGCAAGCCGTAACTCTGGCACAACTGTTCTTGAAAAAGAGCAGTTTCTGTCAAGAGCTCTCTCAGCCCCACCTACCTCACAGGGTGCCTGTTGTGGGGAGGGGAAGGGGAAGGAATTTGTAAGCCGCTCTGAGACACCTTTGGGTAGTGAAGGGCGGGGTATAAATCCAATCTCTTCTCTTCTTCTTCTTCTGAAGACTGCAAATGGAGGAAGACCCCACACAAAGGAATTAAGGCAATGAACTACTTCTACTTACATCTCCAAGAATAAATAGCCTCCCTTTCAGGGTATGTAGAGAGGTTAGGGAAAGAGGGTACCTGGTTTTATTGCTTTCCTCTGGATTTTTGCTCAGTTGGCTGTGATAACAAAAGGTTCCGATGTATCTGAAGAAGTGTGCCTGCACACAAAAGCTTATACCCAGAATTAAACTTTGTTGGTCTTAAAGGTGCCACCGGACTCAAACTTTGTTCTATTGCTTCAGACCAATACATCTACCCACTGGAATCTACCCAAAGCTATCTGTGTTTTTCATTTCACTAAAACATTTCCTTTTATTCTGAAGGCTGTACTTTGAGCTCCATGAACCACAATTTGCCTCGCTGGATTATGTTTACCCAGAAGAATACCCAGTTTGAGATCCCCATCATTCATATTTCTAGCGATATTAGTGAATCTTGGTTTATTTAATATCTTCTCAAAGCACACCACCACCAATATCAATATCAAGAAAAGTCTCATAGAAATACATAGTCTGTTGGCAGCATGTGGAAAAAACGTAACGGAGGCACTTAGCCACATCAGCAAAGACTCTAGCAGTGCAGTCGTCATAACTATTTAAAATTGCTCATGATACCCAGGCGAATGAAACAAAGAGACAGTTGGAGGAAAAGACTTGGGCTGTGGTCACACGCGGCAGTTGAAGTGGTGGGGAAGCGAGGCGATTCCCTCCGGAGGAATTTGACACGCAGCTGCGAGATCCCACCTCCTTTTGTAGCGACGGGTGCAGCCCGCCACTGTGTGATCACACGCTACTGCAGGTGAGTTGGGGTTTTTTTTTTGACCCTTTGTTTCCCATGCGCATAAACAAGGAATTGCACCTCTGCCCTGAGGGCCCCCTATGGAGTATGTGATGATGCACATACTGTGAAGGGGGGGGGAAATGGCACCAAGCCAAGATGGCCTGATCAGACCATCCAGGGAGCGGTGGCGCAGGGGATTTCCCCCCGCTTAACAATAACATCTGAACTGCCATGCTTTGGCAGTTCTATCCCCATGCTGGTGTGAGCAACCAAGCCTTGTCCTAGCTCATCGTCTACACAGCGATTCGAAAGTAGATAAATTGGGGACCACCCATAAGGGGGTGGGTACACCACTCCCTTCGGGAAGGTGTTAGCTGCCAAGGGCGACTTCTGAGGCATGGCGACCGGAAAGATGAAAGAGCTGTGTCGGCTTCCCTGCAGTGGAGCGAGTCGGCCAGGTGGTGGCAGTCTGGCTGCACAACATCAAGAAGCCAGCTGACAAGATGCTGTTGGAACATGACTGACCCAGCCCACAGATGAAGCCCGGCTAGCTGCAATGTGTGTGTAATTAAAAATGCTGTATGTTGTCTTCCCTATCCCCACAAATATTGTTAGTCCAGTTGTCTAAGAGTAACTGTAAATCGCTCTGAGCCCGCAAGTGTGTGGGAAAGAGCGATCAATAAATCAAAAGCATTATTATTGTTGTTGTTGTTGTTGTTGTAATTGAGTGATCAGACAGGGGAAAGTCTGTCTGTGGTCCATCGGAACCCATTTACCACCAGACTTTCCCCGGTGTCTTTTAACTCCGCTTCTGTGGCAGAGCAGCATGGGTTCCCAAAAACAGCGAAACACTTCCCAGATGTTGCTGTCTGATAGCTCCCTTTAAGTCCACCTGGCATTCATGCCTGTGTTGGATCTAAAGGTGCGTGTGACCGCAGCCTTAATTAAACTTCACAAACACAGTGAC